GAAATGATATGGATCCAATAAATCATTTTGCTGCTATTGCCATATTTAAATTGAAGTTGTTAAAATCCTTAAGGTTAGGATAAAAGTTCCTTATTTCTTCCAGCATTTAGCAGTGAACGGCATAAGTAAAACTGACACGCAACAACATCTGGAATTCCTCTCTACTAAATATCCCAACTTGTGCTCTATTATTAGCAATTATTATATCTAAACTCTCACCAACGATGTAATATGTAGTAACCTCAATTATTGTCCTCAACAATGACTCCATTGCCGTGGACAAATTGGCATATTTTGACTGCCCATCCGAAGAATGATAACAATAGACAATAAGAATCCATTCCGGACCTTCCCAGGCAGCCAGTACTCCAGACGTCCAACTCTCTATTGGAAATCCGAGGGCGGTTTTTCGTATAATTACATTAAAGAGGTACGAGACCGCATGTTTTGCAATGCTTGTCTATAACATATCGCCTTTGCAACATACAAAATTATGCATTAAAGTCTAACGACTACCACCAGAGTTGCTTACAGAGGGTACGAGCATGTAGTAGCAAGAATATATGCCAGAAACGTAAGCTCTGGAGTCAAAAGACATGTTTAAAAGTCAAAAGACTCCAGAGTAATAATATGGTGATGCTGTAAAGACGTCCTATGAACACCTTCCGAACTGAGTCTTCTCTGAGGATGTCCCACAACTGAACCATTCCATGGCAGGTAAAATCACCATTGTACATATATCAGGATAGATTCATAAAAATAAAATTGTATCAAGCGCAGGTCCCAAAAGACACTCCAAGATGATCGGCAAGTTAGATGAAATATAAAAATATATATTTTTATATTTCATCAAACTTGCCGGTCGTCTTAGGGTGTCTTTTGAAACCTGCGCTTGATACAGTCCAAAACGTTCTCCGTTCGAGCACGAATTAAGTGGTCCATATGAGAACTGCTGTGCAATTCGGTTGAATCCCACAAGATTGAACTGAATCTCGATAATCCGTTGTCAATGAGAACATTTAAAGAGTGATTTATTATGAACCTTTATTTCTTCTGCTGTCCTATTTTATACTCTTGACAGTTTTTCTTTGCTCCCTCTACTCGAATGTCTTGCAAAAGTTCCATGCTTATAAGCAGTTCTCATATGGACCACTTAATTCGTGCTCGAACGGAGAACGTTTAGAAAGAATCGCTCACAGTTGATATAACGGCTCTTCCTTTCGAACTGACACAAATTAAGACCACGTAACCCGACACACAAAAAACGAATAGATCCTATTGATTCATATATCCCTGTGACGCTTATGGTTCAACTGTCAGACCGCGAGACCCGATTCACTGAATATTCCTTCTGGCCACCAAACTCTTTGCCAAGCCATCTGCAACAGCACCAGTGACTTGCTCGAATTACGCTAGACCATTTCACAAATATTCGCTTCTTCAAAAATGCATTTTTATATTTGAAGTGTTACAGGCAAGAAATGCCCTTGATCAACCTAGTAGAGTAAAGTAAGCCTTGCATTTTGCAGTTAACATAACACACTTTCGAAGTTGTCGCGTTGCAATGCGAAATGATATAAACACAAACTAGAGCCAAGAAAATTTTTACAAGGCTGGGATTAAGAAACCATTTTGGGAGGGTCGCTTTTTGTCAAATATAATGCCATCAAGTCTCCTCTTAAAAATGAGTAATTTTTCAGCTTCTGATGTCTCCCATTGATGCCAAATAATCGCTAAATAACTTTTTATAACAGGACTCCCAGCTTACCTCAGTAGCCAGGTGGACCTTCTCACGTTCACTGAGTCGCTTCATCGGATAGGAGATACGCTCAAGATCAACGTGCAAATAAAGCGGACCCCAGACTTTGGCGATGATATTCTTCAAGTAGTGGATGTTGTGGCCATGAGAAACAGTGAGCAGATAGTTTAGGTGACGGCCAATGTGAATTGCGGCGCTGAAGTCTAGGTCCGGCAGATGGGTAAGCATGAATTGAGCATGCGTGGATAGGAACCTAGTTCGGAATATTTTGGAAAAAGAGACAGCCAAAATAAACATGATGTAAGATAGAGTGAACAAAATACTTAAACGTGGGTACACGGGAGTACTGCGTAAAACATTCAGGCTCTTCTGGGCATATGTCTTCGAATGAGTGGACGAGACTACAATAAGCATGGTAACATCACACCAGCGTGTTCAGTGGCCAACGTTTTGAGACTACGGACTCCGGTGACGGTCTTTAAAAGTGGTTAGATAAGCGTGATGAAGCGCTTTTCATTTAAGGGGCAATCCGTGTAGAAAAGAATAGTTTACACCATGAGTCTCGTGCAAGTGGGGGCTACCCTGTACGACCCATCTTTGTACGGCTCGTCTTTGACTCCGCAAAGCTAGATTCCGCCTAGCTGAACCACCTAGAGAGCAGTCTAAAACAGACAAGGGTAACCTGTCAGTCCTTTGCGAATCCATCGCTCAGGACTGACAATCAGGGCCAGGAACACCGACTTACATTCACCGCATCAACATCATCTGCCGCGTTGACAAAACACACATCCAGTCACCGCATGAGCCTATTCGGTCGTGCGGTAGAATGCTAACTATCGTACTATATCGTTCCATCTCGTCTCAGTCACACCTCTGTCACACTGGAACACGTTTGGCATACCACACCACCGTGCAAATGTGTTTATGGGCTCCTTCTCCGCCAGGCTCCTTTGCTATAATTCAGTATATATAAGGGAGATAGGCAGAGCCTTTGGAAACCCTATTTAAAGATAGATTCTGTCAAATCATGCATGTATTTTAAGCTATATATGGCCGTGAGATGATGTATGATCCCAGCAGTTCACCTTTTCTGTGTGAGCTGCCCACGTGCTTTAAGTGGCATGCCCGTGCAATTTATGTATAAGGACCATGTTGTAGGTAGGGCCCGCGCAAGACGGATCATAATAGGCTACAAAAAATTTGGACGATGCCGAGGAGATAGAGTCTCCAGGGTCGAAGTTACCCCCTCTCTCTCTCTTTCCTCCCAATGGACTAGTCCGCTTTCCGAGCCGATCAGCTCCAGTGCACCCTGGGCTGAATGGAGGGGTCAGCATTGCGACTCTGCTTAGATCTTTTAGCAGTGTGAGCTCGCACGTTCCCAGAATCTGTTAAGGTGGCATGACTCTGTGGAGTCTAGCTATGGCCCCGTAAGCATACAACTCTGGACAAAATACACTACACGCTAATGATGACTTTTTCAGACCAGGAGCTTATGAAAATTGTGCTGTCATAGCCGTAAGTGTCGGTGCCGATGAGCTGGTTAATTACGACGATGTTGGTCTGGTTTCGGACTCACTACGCTTACTTCACATAACTGCCTACTTATTTCGTAGTAGTAGGCATGTTTGCTTACCACAAAGGTATGACACATTCTATACACACACGGATACCTTTAGCTTCCTGCTGTCACCTTAGTTTGAGTTTAGTTAGCTTAGTTGTAGTTTATTATTTATTTTATTAGTTTGAGTTTGTTCTAGTTTTTAGTTTGCTTTATTATTAGTAATCATAGTTTTAGTTTATATTTGTTTTTCTTTTTTGGCGACATGCGGCTGTTTTTGGTTGATCGTACTACCAAATCTATCCAAATGCTGTAAAAGCTATTGTGAATTTTAAGAAACTGGGAAAAAACCTATCACTCAGCGTTATACTTTAATCTCTAAAATTAGATATAGAGTTGTTATACGATTGTGCCCAATTTGCGGGCAGTTTTTGTCTCACATTGGTTGTATTTCTCATTTTAATTATCGCGCGCCAAAAATAAGGTTATTTAAATCATTATAACTATTATTTTCTATTTCAATGCGCTCCAATGTTTCATAATTTTTTCTTTTCCCTGATAAGTTCCACCCATTTAAATCCTTTTACCATCGGTCCCGTAGTATAGAATGCTGGGGTTTTTCGTTTGCTGTAACGAGCCCGACACGAGGCTTTTACTCGTGCGACTTTTTGGAAATCTATGAGCATTCTGTTTGCTAGACACGTGCACCTTGACAAGTGGGCAAAACATACCGCGAAGCCTTAGCTTATATTAACCAATTCCCAAAAAACATACCGTCCAGCGGCCCTACCGTCTTCTCCGTTGCGCATTACCCAGGTGAAGAATGGTCCACGGTACTTCAAGTAGGCTAGAATGAAGGACAAGGCTCTTTCCGGTTTGTTCATAACAGCCTCCTCGAGTTCCATTTGACAGGGATAGTAGATGTATCTCTGAACGGCTGCAATGCAAAGAATGGTAAGTAGATAAGTTGACGGGATGAGAGTACCAACAGGTGGCAGTTCATAGCATGAATTCTACTATCCCGTGCATCCTCGTTCTGCCAAAGACACAATCAACCTGAGGCCATACCGATAAGCCAATAAAATCAGACGTGGTTTTGACGCTGCAAAGAGGGCTACCTCATTGGTTGGAGATAGTCTCTGTGTGTGTTAACAGAATTGGACGGCGTCTTGAATCTGTATTGACACCGGGCCTGGGTAAGTGAGGGAAGAGCGAGTGTAAAAGATGCAACGCAAATCTACCATCAATTAAAACTAACTCACGCGTAATTCACCGTTCTCACACCGCCCTGTTGTGGAAAGTACAGTGGAGAACAACGAAATTGACGGTCGAACTATCGGAGGACGTGCCTGCGTGCATCTCTCTACATATACTGCAGGCCTGAACTGGGATAGCATGCTACACCTTGCCGCTTTTTACTCGCTTTATAAATTATTAAATTAAACTCGTGGCCCCCAGAGGAGTCTAATAGTTCAGATAGCTAGAGTGTAGGCTGCACTAAGACCTTTCCCATGCTGTCGTGGATTTGAATCCCACCGAGGCCGTTGAGTTTCTCAAAAGTGAGTCAAATCGATCCCGAATACTTTCGAATTCAATCTATCGTTGAATTTGCCATCATCTTCATAGTTTTTATGAAACTGAAACCAAACATTTCGCATTTCGTTATGTCCAGTTCCGTAGAAGTCTTTAAAAATAAATTAGACAGCTTTAATAGTGCTCACTCTAGCACCAGTTAACCTCTGCAGGCTGCAGGACGAAGGAAATATATTATTTCGTATAAGGTCGCAAAAATTCCCATCACACTATTTCGTATAATATTACTTGCTTCGTTTAAGTAACATTTAATTATGAAATT